TGACCCCGTGTACTATTCAAATACCACAGATGGATAGTATCTTTACCAAGAGTGCAGTATTGGCGCAACCGCTCGCGCAGACTATAACGTGTCAGAATATAAGCGGAAACACGGACGTTAAAATCCTGGGGAAAAGATCTACAACGGACACGTCGAAAATGATGGCGACAAAATTCTGGCAACTTTCTAGCAACAACAGTAACGTGTTCTTTGCGAAAGATACCAAAGAAGATCCGCTAGTTTATACTTCGACGAGCTTGGATAACTCTGAGATATCCGCTTCATCATCCTCGTTGGGTTTACCAACCAACAGCGGCAACACCTTCTTTTTCACGGCTGCTCCTAAATATACGAACGTCTCGGAGAAGCAGTCATCGATGACGACTGATTTCAATAAAAGATGTTCAAGAAATCCTGCACCGATGTCTAATGTAACAGGGTCGATTGTAAAGATCGTACCAAAGTTACAGGATCATCTTCTTCTGAAGACGTTGAATCAACACGATGAAGGGTGTAGTAGAAAAACTGTAAAAAAAACAAGTACTATTGTTAGTAATGTAAAAAGCGTATCCACCCAGGTGGATCATCCATTGGAGATAATCAATTTGAATTACACTACGAGTCATTCCATCCCGGATTTACAAGCTGCCCAGAGAACGATTACTATTCATCAGGAGCAATTTTCTAACGTGATCGAGCCTGGTGATAAACTACAAACTCAGAATATACAAAGATCTTCTGATAATATATATGCAAACATGCCATCGTTGAAGCCTATTAAATTAATGTCCAGGCGAAAGTCGAAGGAAAAACTGAAGAAAGCGACCACTAGGAAAAAAGAAGTTGAAACAAAAACCTTGATGCCTAATCCGGATGAGGCAAACATAGCGACATGTTCTATAAGTCAATCGCCTTCTGTATCTAATAGAGTGTCGATGGTACCGGGACACATATCTGATATGTTATATCCTAGCGTTCCAAATAATGATCTTTTGAAAGCATTCAACGATTATTGGAGCGCTCAGATTTCTCATTGCGCAATTTGTGCACCCTTCACCTCGAGTTGCAACGGACACGGCAGGCTAATGCCACCGGATTGGAAATATTGTAAACCCACCGTCTTACCAGATAGTTCTCCAATATGGGTGAGTTTTGATCGACAAAACAACGTTGATCAGTGGCGGCTCGTAGACATCCTCCAGTTTATGAAAAAGATAGAAAAATCTTCAGCGGCGTGGTGTTTGACTGTGCGTGCGTGCGCACATAGGACGCTGCGCACGAGACTGCGCAGTAGAGAGGGCACTATCGCTACCGCAGTGGCGGTCTTTTTAAAACAGGCTACAAATTTTCTGGAACAACATCCCCACTAATTTTAGCTACGAGCCGCCACTGATGTTGATTGCCTTGAGATAACTAAATATTTATCTTCTGTATCTTTCTAGGTGTCTGCAAGTGTATTTGTTGCAAATTCAAAGGAACAAGTAGTTGAGCCTGAAAATGATAAGCTTTTACGTTGTAGAGAATGTCACGTCACGGTCCATGCTTCCTGTTACGGGATTACCGTATTGCCTACAGACTTAAGAAATTGGGCTTGCGATAAATGCAAGGCTGGTAAAACCCAAGTGGTACGTAGTGTTATATGATTATCATTCGTTACTTCGAAAATGATCAAATGTTCAATTAATTTGTTTTTATTCTGTGTAAGATGTGTTGCCTGTGCCCGATGCGTGGTGGTGCTCTAAAGCGTACCAGCGATAGCAGTTGGGCTCACATATTGTGTGCCCTACTGCTACCAGGCGTCACCTTTAAAGATGCTATAAATAAGGATCCTATAAATGTATTAACTATCAAACCCAACATCGTTAAACAACAGTGTTGTTACTGCGGACAAAAGGATGGAGCGTGTTTGAGTTGCAACGAATGCGGTAACTTGTTTCATCCATCGTGCGGTCTGGTTTCCGGTGCAACCTTCACGGTACCGGTATATAATTCACCAGAGCTTCAGGTATTTTCTTTCACAAATTCCGTAGAATTTTTACGTTTGATTTATGTTTGCAATAATGAGATTTACGTACAGGTAACCTGTGATGGTCACGATGATGGTAAAGAGAAAATACCAACGATTCGACAGGGTGAAATTGTATGGGCAAAACACCGTAATACTCGATATTACAAGGGCAAAGTAGATTCTATACATGATACTTTGTTTTATATGGTCACATTCAGTGACGACAGTTTCAGTGAAGATTTATACCCGTCAGATATAATGGTGGGTTACACGACTCTTTTTTTTCTTCTCTGTTTATACTTCAAATTGTTACAAATACTTTTTATGTAGAATTATGATCCTGGAAACCCGCCGCAACAAGGGGCCGCAGTTATCGTTAAATGGACTGATGGAAATTTATACGATGGTATCTTTGGGGGTACAAATCACCGTATCATGTACACTGTAAGTGACAATCATCGTTAGAGTTCAATGTTAATAACATTTTCTAATAATATGTTATTCTACTTAAGGTCATTTTTGAAGATGGTTCGCAACTCGTATTAAAACGAAACGAGATATACAGTTTACAAGAAGATATGCCAAAAAGAGTGCGTTCACGTCTGGTGAGTTTAGTGTTAAATTAATTTATCCTTTGTTGGAGTTTACTTTATTTATGATTGTTTCAAACGATTCGCCTTGCTTTTTCTTTCCTTTCTGTCGTACTTTTTTTTTTTTTATTTGTCTCTTGGCACCTTTGATCTTACGTTGGTTTTGATTATTTTTCATTAATTTTATTAAAGTCCGTTGCGACCGAAATGAAGCACCGATATCATCTGTATGGCGCAGAGGATGAATTAGAAGCGCATAGAAAGGTGAAACAGTCTAAATATTGTGATTAAATGAAAATCATATATACAATTTGATGTAAATAATTAATAGAGACAAATAATATTCAGTCGCTGTAAATAACATACACGAATAATGTACCTAAGTAATTTGGTCTTCTCTAAGCGTGTATATGCATTCGGGTTAGACCAAACCGATAGATTCTTTTTTTTCTTCGTCATATTCGTTTTTCTTTTCATTTCTCTGTTTCTTTTTTTTTTTCAATTATTTTCTTCACGTTTCAAACTTCACCGATATTTTAATCGGCATCGTAGTTACGTCTTTAAGTACACTATTAATTTGCTGCTTATCACTCATTTCCAGTATCAATAAAAATTCTTCCTGGTTCAAGAATTTCATATATTAGATGTACAGATTAATTAAAATGGCACGAGAATACGATAATGGCAACGATTATTTGAATAATCGGTAAATCTTCGATTAATTAATTTGTACGCCAAATATAACGTGGAGAAAAGTATTAAAGAAACCGCAACGTTACATGTTTACAATAATAATGCGTGCTTTTCGTGACTATAAATAGACAATTTTCAAATTTTTAATCTTTTATCGCATTATTAGAAAATAATTTACCACCAATCAAGATCTGCGTAACGAAAACGAAGCATGGCATTTTTCCTTATTCCTTGTATCAACTTACAACAATTTACACCAAGATTTGACAGGTAATTAGCAAGCGATAAGGATCAAAGAAATATTTAATAAATCAAATTTGTGAGATGCACGTGTCTGTATATATCTACAGAATATGTTTTTAAATAATTAACCCACGTGGGTTTAGATTAGAAGTCACTTTTTTACTTTGTTCTATATAAGGAAATGAAATTGGAAACATCACATATTTCTGTTGTATTTGTTTAAAAAATCTTTTTTAAAATATAACATATGCCGTTGAAAGCATTATGTAGAATTCTACTTAGGTATAAAAACTCTTTTCAGTAGACTTTCAGTAGTTTCCCAAGAGATTACACTGTGTACGTTATTACACAATAAATTGAATTGTACCTAAATAAAAGGTACCAATGAGATTGTCTACTGTAATGTTTATTTGTAAATCAGTGTAATAGATAGATTGCTGTTCTTGTATTTGTTATGAATTCTATAAATTATTTCGATCAAGTACATAGTTGTGTTTTGACTGTACTTAATAAATTGAGTGTACATTTCAAGTTGCTATTTCAAATAAGGCTATTGATCCTTTTAACATAGCGAATCATGTCATCAATTATTCTTTTTTTTCTTTCTTTTTCTACGTCATTCACGCGTTTATCGTCTAACGAAAATTTGTAATATAAAAATGTCATTCGTCATATGGTATTCTGTATCACGGTTTCTTATAATACAGTGTACACGTTTCGAAATTTTTTTACAAAATTTCTTCCTTTTTAGTTCATAATTGAACATAATCTGCGTGACACAGTGAACGTTTGACAGAGCACCATCGATGTAACACATATGTATGTATATTTGTAGATGAAAGTTGTCACTCAAAATATTGTTCATAATGATCTCTTGAAATTCGTTTCCTAATTTTACTTAAGAAACAGATATGCGCGCGCGTGTCAAGAAAAACGATCATTTTAATCTAATGTAATTTATGAAAAGTGAAATTTCCCTCGACCACTTTATAATACCTACTGTTTAAATCAGGTCGTGGAAATTGTATTAGCGTTCTATGATATTAATAAGAAAAAAAAAAAGAGAAAATGTTGATGTATCCAAGTGTAGAGACATTGGATACAACGTACAATAAAAACAGAATATAAAATATGACAATGTAGTTTTTTAATTCCTTACAAATTTTTCTTATGAATTCATGGAGAACAATAAAAAGTTGTAATGAAGTATATGGTTCGTTCAACCATATTTGACTTACTCTTTTTATTGTTATTCAGGTCTCACCAATGAATCATAAATAACAAATGGTGATATAAAATTGTATACGAGCGTTTATTTAGAGATTTTCATGTTAATTGAAAATCTTTTACATGTTTTGTAATACTAAATTTTATGTCATATAATTATATATAAAAAAATATCATTCAGTGTAATAAGATTTGACAACAAATCTATAGTGTATTGTTACTTAGTTGATAATTTAAACTGTTTTTTTTTTCTTTTTTTGCATTTGTTTAAAGCTTTACCTACAGAAATTTTTGTAGGTAGTAAAAAAAGGTTATATCCATGCAGTAGACATTCATTCATTTTAATCAATATTTTGTGTTACTGATTTTTTTCTTCTATTTTCTTTGACATATAGTTATATGTAAACATTGCTATGTAGTGCCATGAAAATGCCTAACGTATATATCACAGAAAATAATTAAATTTGTTTTTTAAACAATCAATTCAACAATCTTGCTATATAGTCTGTTACAAACGAAATTATTCATTCAGCAGTGAACATTTTGATGAAGAAAATGTTCACGAATGAACATTGTAATAACATTGAATAAAAATAGTATACAATGCCCCAACATCAGTATTGTAATCAATACAATATTCTGTGTAATGCATAAGAAGCTGTTCGATGGTCTCAAGCAGTTAGGAACAAAGAATCCTTCTAAACCCTTTTTTCCAAATTCATATTTAAGTAGGTCACATTGTGACGATACAATAAGTAAAATTAACACGTACTGCTCCTTACGTTTAATTAACTTAATAATTAGTATCGATGCACGATACCATTGTACTATATGAAAATATGTTTGCCTTTCAATTACCCCATGTGCATGTAATTGTAAGATTCGAATTTCAAAATATTTTAAAGCTTTCAACAAAAGAAAATATATATGCAATAACTTAATATTTCTGTAACGATTGATAATAGTATAACAATAAATCTAGGACTTGAAGGCTTTTACATGCTAATAGTACGATTAAGTTAGTATATTGCCACGAAAAGATCAGAACCAGCTTTTTTATCACTTTAATCTCGAATTTCTTCCTAAATGTCAATTTCCATTCAAGTAAGTACAGCGGAAACTAAATTCGTCTATAACAGATCTTTAGTGTTCGCTTCTAATGTAACTAAAAATCTGATATGAGGTGTTCCAATCGAACCATTTTTTTAAATCAGCGCTTTTAGCGTCAATTTTCACGATAAATAAATCAACCAATGGAACGACCAACATCAATACTGGATAGTCGAGATCGAAAATAAATAATTCCTTTTTTTTATCTTCTATTAAGCTTGCACCAGAGAGCACTGGCGGTCAGTAAATGCATCAGCACACCGATACCAAGGATTAGAATGAGATTATTAACAACGCTCGTGTCGGCAATGTCCATTTCTTTAAGAAACTGCGTCGGTTTCTTATAGTGACAATAGAAATCGTCGCATTTCAAGTCCATCCTACCGAAACCGTAAACAGTATGCAAAAGACTGTGAAAACTGGCCCGGAAATACGATATATGGAACATCCATCTAAACATTTGAGGAGTATCTATATAACGAATACAAAATCCGAACACGGAAAATAGCACTGCTATTATAGGCCCAGCGAATACAGCAATCTGTAAACAGAAATAAATATATGCGTTACATTTGTAAATACAGTTGCATATTAACCCTTTCGCTACTAACGGCAACTATAGTCACCCAACATCTGACGCTCCTTATGCACTGACGATGACTTTGGTCACCCGTCCCACCAGACGGTTTGGTAGAGCAGAATATTATTACATTGTTATTTCTATAGTTGCCGATTTCTTCTATTTAATTTCTATTTTATTTTATATTACAAGATTATTATTTTATTTTTTAAGTGCCCCGTAGCAGGACAGCGTATTCGCAAGTCTGCCGTAGCGAAAAGGTTAAAATACTTGAGAAAATATTGTATATACCTTAACTGGTGTAGTCGCACCGATAAAGAAACCCCAAGCCTGAGCCGTCAAACTAGCAGCTATGCTAACAACCATGAAGGATATTATACGAGGAGTTTCAACGGGTTGCCCTGTTAACCAGTAACTCACGGCTAAATAGGTCGCCGCACAAGACGCTTGGAATGGTATTTCCACCAATAGCATACTGAAGTAGTATGGTGCTAACCGATACCAACGGTTAAAGTGTTCCCTTGAGAGGATCCGCATCTCTTGTGGAACTGAAAAAGCAATGCAAATAATTACTCAACAACTGTGTTTAACTTGTTGACTCTATCTCATTTGGGGTTCTGTGTTTGACTAATATATGAATACATATGTTGACTCTGATGAACCTTAGATTGAGGTATGTTAATAATTCGCAAATATTGAATGTGAGGCACGGTTTTGGCGAACAGAAAAGAATGCATATGACCTGCGGTAGTGAACGCCTGCAAGAGATTACTGTAAACTCTCTGTGCGTTGCAGTTCAGCAGATGTACGCGTCACGACTCCTTGACCTAGATTTAAAAACTGATGGCAATGAGAAGCGATAGTAGCAGAATGAAAGAAGGGCCACTGTGTATCAATCTCCGCTTGTAATTAATACCTACAGGCAAGTGTGACTGCCATTTTGCCTGTGTAGACGATCAGCAGCAACGAGCCATAAAGATAGACGTAATTAGCGAGGACACCGTTTGCCCTGTAACCACTTCCCATGTACAGGTAGCCGAAGATTACACCGATCAGCAGGTGACAGAGTAAACGTACCACCAGCAATGTGTAATCTCTCTTCAAACAAAGTAACTGCCTTTTGTAGAGAAGGTAACATTGTGCAAGGAATCCTGCTGGTGGAGGTGGTTCCTTTGTGCTTTCTGTTTAATTAATAAAATAAAGTTAACAATATAGGAGACAGAAATGTAAAGGCTCGTGAGAAAACGTTCTAATTACCATCTAATTGCGATTTCATAGTGTACGTGATTGATTTTTCATCTTTTGATATTGTTTCCACCGCAGCTGCCAATTTCTCAACGCTAATACCATAATCTCCAATCGCCACCTCTAAAACTGTATCGTAAATTCATCTTAGTTTCTATTCTCATTTTGATTAATCTCCAATGAACCGTTCCACGGATGGATACGTACGAAAATCAGCGGGGTTGTGGTATGGAGGACAATCAACACCGACCGAAGACATGTGAGGCAACAGTGATTTAACTGGACCCCTGTATATACAATATCCAGCAGCGACCGTGTAAATAGCATCAAACATCTCCAAGAGCAACGCACTCGGCTGATGTATCGTGCATATTACTGTACGCCTTTCTATTTTAGCAAGACGCTTCAAAAGTGCGATACACTGGCTACACGATGACGAATCCAAACCTAAAAAAAACCAGAAAGGAGTGTTTAAATTATTGAGAAATTCTTTAGTTTCCTAGACAGAAGATAAGTATATGCGAATAATTGTTAAACGTTAAAGCTTTTCAGCGTACATGGAATTACTCTTGTCATTAGATGATGCCAGAAAAATATACATAGTAATTACGTGAATCATGATGATGCAGTTAAACACGAGTTAGTCACTGTTAGATAAGAATAAAACATTTTACATATAAGCTTGATTAATCATTTAGTTATTGATGAAGGGGGCGTATGATTTTATTTTTATTTTTACATGATTTATATCTATTACTTCAAATATGATAAATAGGTAGGATAAGAAACAATACGATCTAATATGTACTAAAAATAAGAAAACAATTAATAAGGAAAATTAATTTAGTGATGTTAAATTATATCTTTGAATATTCAAACGTGTGATAACGTGTATAGAAATGAAATAAATAATAAAACGACATATACAAAGTCGACACGTAATCGTTCACGAAATTTGAATAGAATAATGGGGAGCGTGCATCGTGAACCATGACAAGACATTACGAAACATCTTCGAAGGCCTTGTATCGTTTTGCACGAGGCAAGTTTCGACGTATCCTTTTATTTAACTTCCAAGAGTTTCATTCATGCCACGTTAATTGATTATTTTAATTTAAACAGGCATTCCCATTTGGAGGAGCTATTTTTAAAATATTTTTAGGAGTTCTTTTTAAACATAATTTGCATATTTGTTCACATTTCGTCCACAGTGAAATTTTTATGCAATTATGTTTAATCACGTGTTAATGTAATAAAGCCAAATACGAAGGACGAAAGAAGAATTTCGTTTAAAATTTAAGACAACTTCCTTGATGTTTCATTGAATTCTCGTTACCTACACTTTTCTATGCCTCTAATTATTTTCATTTCTATCTTTTTATAAAGGATGTATGCGTGTTACGATAATTATAATAAGGTTCTTCCGCGTCGATCAATGGTATCTTTGTATCTGGATATGATAACTTCCGTTATTTCTTCCCTATCGGTGTTCTTTTTAACCTTGGTACAATCACAGCTCTCCCACAACCTAATTAAACCAATTAGCATAGGCAGTATACAATTATCTGCGAGGTAACAGACAAGAAACCAGTAGAATGTTGAAAAATAAAAAAATACATAATGTGAAACATTTTTACTAAAGAGAGACGGTTTAAAAATGAATCCTACTGTATCCATACAATGTCCTCCTTTCATCCTGACCGTATTCTGCACACCGTGATGCAACACACGAAATTTATTTGAATTTATCAAGCATTTTGAGCTGAACGCTGGTGGAGTTTCGTAATTACCGGTTGTTGGCTCGTCCAGGAATAATACTGAAGGATTACTTAAAAGTTCCAAAGCAATGTCTAGCCGCTTCTTCTGCCCACCGGATAGCTTTCCGCATAACGTGTCGTAGCAGTGGCTCAGGCCGAGAATTTCTAACAGTTCCAACACCTAATAATAGAAACGAATCGGTCACTGTGTGCCGCAATGTTTAAACGTTATGAATCTATCCCTCGATATCGCGTGATCGGATATTTAACATTAGATTGCCATTTACGATTTTATCAAAAAACTTAAATAATTTTTTTTAAAACATATGTTGGTTTTTAATAATTCCCTCCCCTCCTATTTTGACGGACCTATTTGTCCGGCAATCTAGTGTTAATGCGTTATAGAAACGTGTTAAACTATTGCTGCATTTCTTCTAATAACGATGACAAAGATGCTTCAAATTGCTACGAACTTGTGTGTGTTTATAAGCTGAACTGATCGTGTATCCCAGTTTCAAATGTGCTGCTAATGTCATGGCTTCTCCCACGGTGAGCCTAGTTCTCATTAACGCGTCTTGTTGTATGTAACACGACGTTCTTTTCCACCTTTCACTGTACGGTCCTCGAACTTTACCATTCACTAGAATCTCCCCTTGCACACCCTTCACTCTGAAACATTATCCAATTTCCATATTTTTAACATTCTCATTTTACTCAGAAACTAATAAATTGCATAAGTAATCATTGGACAATTCTTAGAACGTAGTCAATCTATGTGTACTGTAATAAATTCAGCTACAAGCCTATTTAAAGAGCACTGAATATCTGATTGAATCGTAACTACAGTCCATAATCAACGCTGTAAATGGTGCATAAACGAGTCTTCAATTATTCAAGAATAGTTTCTTTTTATTAAAAACATATAATATTTACTTTATAATGATTTCTTTATAAAACGCACCTGGTGCGTCTTGCATTAAATACTGTAGGACGCACATGGTGCGTCATCCCCTCTATCAGATTATAAGACGCATACGGTGCGTCGTCGGTTTTCAACTCTTCTCCGAATCATTTTAAAAGAATTAAAGAATGTTAAAGAGGTAATAGAAATATTCTAATTGATTGAATATTCTTCGAAAAACGTGATACAAGCATTTTACAAGAAAAAGTTTTTCATTATTCAAATATATTCGATTACAGTAGCGATCGATGTGTCATCAAGAAATACGTACTCCACGTCGATTTTCTCTGAGTAATTACAGATAATTTTTTCGAAGAACGTTCAAGAAATATAAAAAGAACGGTGGCTCGATTTACACGGAAACGAGTAGCCAAGAACAGTGTACGTGATTCTCATTGAAATTTCAATCTGAAACAAAATAAAATCCTGCTGGAGCTTACGGAATTACGTAAACTTAATTTCTAGGTAATTTCTTAAAAAAAAAAAAAAAAAAAAATGAAAAATAACAACAGTATTAAATTGTTGCATAAATGACCAATTTTTTTGGAACTTTATAAATTTTGATTAAAATTGATGACATATAAAGTATCGCAAAATAGTGCTTATGATATATCAAATTAAAGCTTGATATGCTTAAATGAATTTTTAATAATAATTTCTAGGGAAACAGGTTTAATGATGGAATAAAAAATACGACGTAGACGTAGATCAACATACACGTTCGGGCATGGAGGGCAGTAACTGGAAATAACAAGTCACGTTTACAGATAATTGAACGGTAAAATATACCCACGTGTAACCGGCCAAAACATTCAGCAAAGTTGATTTTCCGGCCCCGGAAGGGCCCATTATAGCGACCAGTTCGCCGGCTTTGAACTCTCCGCTCACACCGTGTAAAATTTCTTTGTAATCTGTAACAGAAAAAAAGAAAAAACCAATTTTCAAATAAAAATCTAATTTAAATTGTTACTGCCTGAAATTGCAGTAGATCGTAGTTTGTCAGAGGAACCTGGTTAAATTTGAAACGAGTCAGAATTGAAATACTGGTGAACAAACAAGAGAGAATTAACTTCAATGATCTGGCATCAAGATTGAACAAGTGGAACGATTTCAAGCAAGTGAAACTAAAGCGACCTTAACGAACTAAAACTGGGGATTTCAATGCACTTTGCCGTTCTGAAAGCAAACTAGGAGCGTCAAAGTCCTGTAATTTCTACGGTGAACACGAAGTTTCAATGATCGGTTAATTGATCTATTCTAAAAAGGGAATTTGATCATACAAAAAGTTATGTAACCGATAGAAAAATTATACTTTTCTTTTACTATTATCTAGGCAATTTATATTCCACGAAAAAAATGGATATTGTTATGTTTGATTAAAATAATATTTACGTGCGAATAAAATGCATTTAAAAATATTAACTAGATTTTTAATTATCAATGGTGCATTTAGTAATCTATTCGGGATCGCAAAAAAATACGTAACATTTGCCATTAATCAAAGATAAGAGCGCTTGACATTTAAAAAAAAAACCACCTGTTCCGTGATAATGCTGGTCATTAGTATAACTGACGCGTATTAATCATCGATTACCATTGAAAAACGCTCGGTAAAATTATAATAAATGTTAAAGATACGTTTCGTATTGTGATTGCGACTGTGACAAGTACTTCTTTCTTTTTTGAACATTATGTTTCATGTAATATCTGATTGCAATTTATGCAATTAATTACGAGCTGAAAATTAATCGTACTGCATCGTATCGCGTCGCATCGCAAAAAGCCCTACCGACTGCTGTTGATCGGGTCGTGTCGGAAGGTGTCGGGTCACTTCGGGTCACGTCGCCTTACGTCGGGTTGCGCCGGATTGCGACGAATGCGAATTCTTACGCATGATTCAAAAATTTAAAGACGCTTTTATATTACGATACAGTAAATTGACAAGATTAATGAAATAAAATTTATCGAATGCAATTTTATCGATAAATTCTGTTTAGATATTATAGTAAAGGTGGCAAACATCAGCGTAATATAAATTGTGAGAAAGCAGAGCTCCGTTTCCAGTAACGAATACGCACAGTTGCAGTTGCATCGAATTACACAAGAATGATCGTCCGAGTTCCGACATTATTTTTTGTCTTCCTTTCAGAAAGGTTTCATTTTATAAGTGCTACAATTTCAGAGAAATTTCAATAAAAAATTTGCCGTTATACAAAGAATTGATAACGTTCGCGAAATTTGATTTTTCTTCACCACAATTCTGCACTTTTATCGAACCAAAGTGGCATCGTAATTTCACCTCCCGGCATTGATAGTCTAAAAATATTTAATTTATGTCTCTGTAAAAGAAAAAAAGGTTTGCCGACCCCCTGATCTAGCCGATGCAACGCGTACCGAGAGACTTGTACCTACGTTCGTGGAGTATTCGTCATAAAATATGCGTGTGCTGTTGTCACGCACGAACGTCATGTCGTCACGTATTTATCGACCTCCAAACGGAAACGGAATAAAATTATTCCAAATGCGGGCGTACGTGTACAGTGGCGAAAACAGGATTCAGAAATTTATGCTCACTAATCAAACAATTTTACGTAATTTCAAAAGAACAACTCAATATTTTTCAGAAATATTACAGATCTTCCCGGATCGATGAGAAACGTGTTATGACTTTCGACCGGAAGTCGGTTAACCTAAAACGTTATACGCTATGATTGTAATTATTATTAAACTCGCGGCGTCGCAATTATTATTAAATTAATAACATTATTTACAAGCTGATTGAATAAAAAAAAATTTAAGTTCCTTATTTTAAATTATCGTCGTCACGGTAATAATTATTCAAAATTTTCTTGTTTTCGCGGTATTTCCTGATATCAATCATCGACTACCACTATGGAAATGAACCGTTTGGTGGAATCTAAAATATTCTTGGATGTTTAGAAATCGTATCTAACGCCGGCCTAATCGAACACCCGTGATTTTTATCGTTTCTTCCATACGGAGCCAGTGGTCGCCGATGACGTATCTTTTCCTTTGCTGGCCCATGAATAATACAAGAATTTCCTCGAGAACGGATGCGACCCACTGAACTTCACGTACATACGTTTATCGTCGAACTGTCTTACGTGCAAGATAATCGCGATGTTCTTTAATAAGTAAAGAAAAAAAAAAAGAAAACGGAATAACCGATTGATTTGTGCTCGGTATCACGTGCACCGCAGTCGACGGCAAACGTCCGACCACGCGGTACCGCGTGCTCAGTCGCTGGCGTTCGAAGGTTGCGGCACACAACGACCGATCCGCTTCTTGGATCCGGTAACGAACGCGTTAAACATTATGTTTAACGATTCCTCTGACGGAATAATGATTTCTGGAAAAGTACAAGTTTACGGGGAAAAAATATCATTAAAAAAGACGGCAAGAAGTTTATAAACTTTACGTCGAGATTAAATTAATAAATCTGCAATCAATTAAACGAAGTATTACCCTGTAATCGACGTGAAGAAAAAAGCGTAATAAACGCGATAGTACAAAATAATGGGAGAAATTATGTTTCACGTATAATTATTTTTTTTTCTTTTTTATAAATTCAAGTACATCGTCGGTTCGGATCTTCCTTGAAATCTGAACGTAACAAATGCGAACGAGTTTCGATTCGATTATCTGGGATTTTTTACGCCAGTCGAAAGGTCGCGATACGATAGTTAATAAGCGAACTTGTTGTTTGTATAATACAAACCGAAGAGAAAAAAGAACAGCCAGATAGCCGGAACTGGAATGTTCGAAAGGAGTAAAGTACTCGCATATGTATATACAAATTACTCGAAAGATTTATACTAAAACGTAGGATTATTCGATGGATAGGAAACATTCTAGATGCACTAGTGTCAATACACATAACCTCTGACTTACTATTTTATACTTAAATATCTTAGACGATTTCAGGCGCTGTTTTTCTTCCTTTCAGTTTCCTTTGGATACAATTTTATTCATTCATTGTTAATAATTAATATTTAATACTTTATCGGTTATTTTTCAGTATACAACTTTTGTGTGTTGCATAAATTTGTTATGAATTTTTGTGCGTATCTCAATTATATTTATCAATTCAAAGTAGCAACAACACGTGGCAACAGAAAATTGTATATTGTACAAGGCTTCAATGCACACGGTTGATTTTGTATGCAGAAGTTCAATTGGTATCATAAATCATCGTCTTTGTTTTTTTCCTCCCTAGTTGTAACGCTATTTTTCCTTAACCACGACGTAATTTACATGGCAAAGTGGAAGAGCTTATGTATACATAAATGGCAGAATGAACCGTGTGTATCTCCTTTCACGTGCGCCGACCTTCCCAAGCGACTCATTTCTCGGCACACGTGCAGGAACGATCCTTTCTGCCAGCATCTAATGGAAGAGAGCTCTTTTCAAAACGAACAACCACTTTCTCCGTTTCAAAACTTTCTTTGCTACTTGCTGGACCACTTCCATCGCTTTCTCTCGACGTCATCGGCAGACATTTAATATAGTAAAAAAAAACTGTAGGAACATGCGCGCGCGTTTCGTATACTCTTGACCCCTACACTTTTATAGAGCACTGACCTATGACTAAGCGACCGTAACCTTTAAGAAAATGACACGGTCATTGGAAGAAAAGCTGCTTATTTCATCTTAAATTTGTTTACGTATCCTAAAGTTTACCGTATAGTTGATCGCTTTCGAATCTAACCTATAAAAGTTACGAGTTTCCTTATCTTTGCTTGATCAATTTCAAAAGAGTTCAGTTATTCTGTGCTATAAACAGTACGAAAGATTATTAAAATTTGAAAAAAAAAAATCAATTTATTCTTATCATAGGAACTTTGCAGAGAATGATTATTTGGTAATGAGTGCAAGGACCGTGGTTAAAAAAAGCGATGTTTAACCCTGGAACAACGATAACAGATCTACGCTCGTTCTGTCCACATCTTAAATCGTGATTACGAGACTCTTCTCGGGATAAAATAAAGAAAATGTAACGAAATACGTACAGTTCGTTAATACTAGTACTGTTAACTTGCTCGAGTTCCGGTGGGGGGGGGGGGGGGGTCGGATTCCGCTTTCCGCGCAGCATCGTCACGGAGATTTCTAAGACCGTTGTTGGACCTACTTTCCCTCCTAACTTAACACTCTTTCGTGAAAAACTAACGACACTTTATACGAGAAATAGTATAATATATAAACAACGCACTATCTGCGATTATATTCTATTATATGTCACTTTTACGAAAGTAATTTCAACGCACCCCCGATCGCGTCTTCTACGCATTTACTCGCTCTATGCGCATGCGCACAATATGGGGCGCAATATGGCGCGCAATTTGAGCATCCATTCGAAGTATGCATTAATGACAATTTCGAAAATAAACTTACTCGGTCTGATGTTTCGAAGGCTCCATTCTCTGACCGTGTACCGTACATCGAAGAAGGCAAGATCCACCTCGGGTCTCTTTGGAAAAGAATGCTTCTCTTGAAAGAAATAATCATCTTTAGCGGCTATTGTCACACCGTGAACATCGTCGTGGCTGCTGTGATCGATTTGACAACAGCTGAGCGACGACCTGGACGGAGAACAATGAGGAGAAGTGGTCATCTTTCAAACGAATAATAACTACGAGTTTCTCCTTTAACGTTTCTTCGCGTGAAAACAGTGCTTTGGCTTTGCTAGCGATTCACGTTCTTAGTCGCATCTCTAGCACTAGCTAGGATTCTTCTGCTATCTCCTCGCTTGATTTATCCACGATTCCAATCTCCAGACGATTTATAATTCTCGCATAATTGCTCTGCGAGTCCCTCTGAAATAAAAAAAAATAAAAAAATACTGAATAAATTGAACGCGTGTATTAGCTTGCTGAATATCAAATGACCAATTTCGAAACACTGAATGTCTGACAAGATTTCATGACAGAAAAGTGTCGCAAAATAGCACTTGTGGTATATCAAATTAAAGCTTAAAATTCACTGAAAATCACTGCGTAAACCGATCATTGATTTACTGCAATGATTAAATAAAATACAATTTAGAATGTACATATATTCAGACGAAGAGTTTAAGTTTACGAGGAATTATTTTATTTATTAGTTATGCAAAAAACTCGTGCCGGACCAATCAATATAACTTGAGAGTGAAATTTCTGGTTCCTGTTTCAAGGACATCATTTGCACCTTGCATCTTTCGTCAGACATTTCAACCGGTTTCGTTAACTATTACAACATAAATGATTCTTTCATTAGACAAATCCCAGCTCGGAAACGACTTTTATAAATTATGAACCGGTATCCCTCGGTTAATCGAAGCAATAATTAATTCCTTGACACTCTAAGGGTCATCATGCTAATTCCCATTACAAACTTAATTTTCCCATTTAGAATACTTTTTAAATTATACTTCGAACTTCAAATTCATGTGTTTACAATTCTTTTTTTTTTTTTTTTAAATCACACTTTACCAGTGAAATTTTGAAAAAGACCACCGTTAATTTTCACCTTCTCTCCCTTTTCATAAAAAAAATATGATAATTGGATATTAGTTAATTTATTACATTTAAATTGCAATTAAAAATTATATAACTTAATACACATTCGAATTGAACATTCAATTTTCACGCAAAATGTTTCAAATGAAATCTCGTTGAATATGCAAATAACCGATGACATTATCTTTATCCAAGTGTCGATGTAAGTACTACGTAAACGTTTTATGGAAAGACCGGCATCGTCATCGAAATAAGTTTCATCGAGCGATTAGGAATAAACAGCGCTTTACTTCAATGCGCCTCGTAAAACGAGCAAAGGTCTTTGACGTGTAAAATCGACAAGTTATTTGTTTATTTGTTGTTATTATATCAAACGCAAATGATACAGAAAGATAATTTCAATGATTCATTGCAAACTCCGCGCCGGAGTTTGTCGTCGCTCTGTAATTACTGTCAACGATAATAATTAACACGTTAGTTGTTTCAATATGTAGTCAGTCATTTGAATAGCTGATTTCCTGTATTCCTACAATTTTTTTTGCGATATCAAACATTTGAATTATTAATTAAAATTCACCTCGAAGACGAATTATAGCGAATTGGAATAATGTTTGGAAAGTAAGAGGAGGATTAAACGTCGAACTTTCGCCAATGTTGTTTTGGCAATAATGTCGATTAGGCAAGCGTACGAAATTCAATTGATACGATTCGCAACGCGAAACTCTATCACGGTTCGTTAACAAAGAAGAAATATTATTATTCGCGGACTTCAATCGTTCGATTACTTTCGATAATTATAAGGTTGCATCTGTCGCTTCGTAAGGTTAAAGTACTAATTCGTATTAATAAACAATGGGTACAAGGAGGATATTGTATTCAACGAGATAAACCGGAGAAAAAAAAAAGAAATCATATTCTTTTTCTGATTTTCTTTTTTTTTTTTGTTTTTCCTTTTCGATGAATAACTTTGAACCTCGATCGAGTCGAGTTGAAAATTACTAAGCAGTTCAATGCGTTTTATAATGAAACACGTACGAGATTAGTAATGCGAGAAATAGCTGATCGAAGTATTAAATGTTATCGAAAGATCACGCGCGATTGGTAGTGAAATTGAGTAAAAATTCTTCGTTTGATCAAATGAGAAATAATCGTGGAAATGCAATGATCTTGAACTGCAAGTGATCTGATTCATTCGGTATCCAATCACCCTGACCCCTCGTTTATCTGCAATTTTTTTTATCGTTCACCTAATCTCGAACGTTCCGTCCAGACAAATTATTTTCAAAGTTTCTCCTTGTGGCTTATCAATTCGTTCGTCAATAGTTCTGATCTTCGTACGTCGACGATAAGAGACGTTTAATACGCGGAACAATAATTGTTGGGAAAGGATCGATGTATCTATTTTTTCGAGGATATCATTTATGACGACGTTCGTGATTTCTTAACGGTGCTTGCAAAATCATGGTAGTATGTTATTTTGCGCAAGAATTGCTCCACGGATGAGGCACTTTCCATCTTCTTCCCTCGGCCGTATCGAAAAACACGACCGTTTCACCTGTTTTCACCTGTACTTTTTCGAAAACAATTACAGGTATTCGCTTCGTTGAATAGATTAGTCAATAGAATGCCCTAGTTTATGCGAGAAAATTTGAATTATTATTTACTGAGAGTCTGATTCGATCACGACTAAATATTACAAGCAATCCAGAGTAACCGATATAAGTATACGAACACAATGACATTTTATTAGATTAAGATGTACGTTTCATAATTAATTACCTCAGTCGCGACTAGTTGCTTGATTAAAAATACAAAAATGCTTACTAATAAAACAAGTTACTAATTAACAAGTAACTAATTAAATTATCATATGATTCGATTGTCAGCGAGAATTATTAAGACGTATTTGTCATCATTAATAACTATTTTTCTTTTTCATTCAAGAATTATTATAAACTATTTGAAATATTCAAACGTAGGTTGTTCCGTTAGAAAAATACAAGCAGTCTCATTAGATGGAAAATACTAATTATAAATGGTTAACCATGGTCAAGGTATATTAGTCATTAAATACCTGTCTATTTTATGCCTTTCTAACAGACTGATCAATTATAGATACAATTTATAGACGAATGAATATTTATATATATAAAAAAAAAGGGAATCGCTTTCACTCTGTTTCCGGGGAAGAAAGCAAATCCTATCCCGCGTATTTTTAGAAAGTTTCGCGACGAACATTGCTCGTATTCGGGATATTCAATGTCGATGCACTGTTTTCTCTTTAAGGAAACAGTAATCAAATTAATAACAGATGATTAGATAATAATATACACCGCGCGGTAGTGACGACTCATGTATAGCGTGCTAATTAGCAGATATATGTTATACCTAACAATGAACTTGAAAATGAGAAAAAGAAATTAATAATGACGTAAAGTGGCAACTTGGAAGCATGAAATTTGCAATTCTAAAATGACGTACATTTAAAGAAAAAATAATGTTTCAACAAAGAGTTCGTTGTACAAAAGGAATTGTAAATACGAGTGAAAGGAATATTCGTGAAATCTTTTGGTAAACTTGTCGGCACGAGTGTTCAGATAACCGAAACGACGTTCAACAATAATTCACGTGTTGCAGTCACGAGATTATTCATTCCGTTATCCTCTGCTCGTAACGCATTACAAACATTCTTATTTAACGAGAGTATTTAACGAGAGTATTGTATTAACAACGAATTCATATTATGTGTTTATATTAATTTAATAAATGAAATGGTTACGCAATTTATCGGCGTCAAGGCGCAAGGTTGAACAAATACGAAGATATAATTCATATGTTTCTGACCTCCATATATTGCATTCTTTCATGAATGCTGAATATGAGAAATAAATGATTGTACTTTATTCTTCTTTAAGATCATCGAGTTTTCGCGCTAAAGCAAGCGTGGGTCACTACGCAATTTAAATTAATTCACTGTTCGATTAATCATATTAATTATGGTTAATAACTAAAATATGTCAATTCATTTATTCGTATCATTACATCTTCCCAGTTGCATACTGCGGATGCATAATTAAAAGACTATACATCTCCGGTAATAAAAAGTTTGAATACATTACGAAGAATAGTTATAGATCTCATTGTATGGAACTTCTTGACTTAACAGTGTCATCAATCAAATTGAAAGATTCAAGACCAAGAAAAACTACTGTTTCTTTTGAACAGAAAAAAAAAAAAAAAAGTTAAACTAATTGTAAGATCGAAGGAACAGTATCTCTGTTTCCTCTTCTTTTTAGAACAAATGTATTAGTACACTCGTTTATTTATTACCTGCTGTTCAAAATGAGTCACACATGATATTTATCGAACAGTAAATTAATTATCAATACGATTTCCAATTTTTTTTTCATGGAAACAGTAGCTAAAATCCTAACATTCTATATACACGCGATAAAACGAAACAAAAGTAGAATCGTATTTTAAACGATTCTCCTCCTGTTACCGTTGATTAATAGACCAGAACGGAAACGAATTTCCTATGAAGACTTTGATCTCGTCAAACGGTATCCTTTCATTGTTTGTTTTTCTGAGAAACATATTTACGCATAATTACACTAAAACGATCGAAATCAATCGATTACGAAATAATTTCAAATGTAGAGTAATTCTCGTTCTAACCTCTAACGCTGCTAGACTAAACATTGACATTACTTATTAAGACCGTAACAATCTAAACAATTTTAAATAATTACTCAGTGCATTGTCAATAATTACTCTTCATCAACGTTTACGTTTCTGAAACATATACAGTGTGATTGTTTGCTACTTTAAGTTTCACGTATACCGAAACAAAATTTTAAATTCGTGAAATTCTGGTTATACGCGATCCGCGCATGCGCGTTCACGCATCTTGCCGCAGGGAAATTTCCATGATTTCTCTATAACCTTTTTCGTTAACTTTTACAATTTTACACATAAACAATTCAGCTCATGTTTTCTTAATAGGGCAAGAAATTTTACAAAATATTATAATGCATAAACATTCAATAAAATACAAATAAGTAATTTCATCTTAAGCGATATTAAACTTAATGCGCATGTTTCGCGCCAATTTTCA